GCTAAACAACAAACTATAGGATAGTAGTTGTGATGTTGGGTAACGTGTAACGTGTATGGTTTGATTATAACTCATATATTGTTTAAATTTATTGACCAATTTTTGACGATTTTGGAGAATTCAGAATTGCATAAGAAATGTATTAAAAGGATAGTGTAGCATATGGGCCATAACTCTGGTTGAACTTGATAGAAAGAGGCCCATTTCTCTAGTTAAAAATATTGAATCAGTGCTAAAGAACTCTAACCATTGTCAAACTGGCTGTGAGTAGAGGAGAAGCTGCAAATGCAAATGATTGAGACTGGCGAAGAAGAAAAACCCTAAATCCCAATGGATACGGGAAGAAGAACAATCCCAGAGGCGATATTGTTGGAGATTCTTGCCAGATTACCTTTGAGAAGCATCGCAAGATTCAAATCTGTCTGCAAAACATGGAAATCGGTAATAGAATCGCCTTTAAAGTGGTTAGGACTTGTGAAAGTAGGAGAGTGTGTGAATGGAGAGTGTATGTATATTCGTCTGAGAGAGGTACATGGACTTTCAAGCGACTTCTCTCTTCCATTCCTCTCCACCACCCTCCCGTGAATCTCAACGGAATGCTTTATCTCTGTAAAAAAGGTTCGTATCGTACTGGACCTGGAGTCCTTATAGCTCATGACTTTTATGGCCCTGAAGCTGATGATCAATGTCCGGTTATACCTCTCCCTCCGGAGTATAACATGATCAGTTGCTTGACTACTTCAAGAGGAGATGTTATCTACATTGAGATACTAGATCAAAGATTGAAAGTTTGGAGGCTGAATAGTGAACGGTGGCAATTGTCACGGGAAGAAATCGACATGGCGTCTGTTGGATTTGATGTCGATTGTATTCCCATGGCAATGAATCCGTTTGATTCTGATATCATCTATCTATGGAGTCTAGAACATTGTTGTTTTGTATCGGGTAACTTGCGGACACACGAGTTTATTGTCCATCAGGAATCAGAGAATTGGAGTAGCAGTAAAGGTTGTTGTCGCATAAACACGTCCGGTGCTGAAGGGTATATGGAATATGCTCGCTATTTATTTTCAGTCGTCATGTTATCTCAGTTTGTGCTCCCACAGTGGATGGATCCAGTACCTCGTCCACCAAATTGATCATCATTCTTAGGGGAGTCGGTAACTTTTACTGCATAACCTTGTCCTTCGGTATTTGTTTATAATCGGGACATATTTGTTAGCTCTGTATCAGTATCACTCTTTTGTGATGACTTAAATGTTGTCTCTAGTGATGGTGTCGTTGATTAACTGACCTCATAGTGTAATGAAGCATATATAAATTTACTCATCTCATAGTGTAAGCGAGACGGTCGAATAGGGAACGTCAATATAAGATTAGCTTGACTCAAGACACAATAATTGGAAATCTTAGTGGACTAGATCAAATTTCGTATATTTAAACTTCCATGGCTATAATTTTCGAAATCCC